TAACATCTTATCATATTTGTTCCAGATATTTTTAATAAAAAAAGAAACAAATGTGACAGATAAAGATGAATTCCCATTATCTGCCCCCGCCCCAGTCCCATTTCCTGGCTCCCCAAGGGCAGCCACTCGCATATTTTAGAGATATTCTTCTCGTATCAGTTGGCACGCTCTCAGCGGCAAGGACTAGAATTCCCTTCAAAGCAGCTCCAAGTACAACTCAGCAGCCCTGACTATCATAAAGAAGCAAGTGCTTCCCTCTCCACACTGCCACACACTGTCCTCCCCATCATCAGTGACATCCTGCTGGCTGCGGTCACAGAGTCGTATTTTGACACAGGAGGTGGCAAGCTCATCAGGGCTCTTGCTGGAGCACTGTGTTTCTCAATTCCGAACATATTCTCCAAAAGGTATTGAGAGATTCGAAGACCCATCGCCTCCAGCTGCTGTACGTCCTGGGCTGCCCCGCCGTCTTCTCTCTGATCCGTCTTGGGTTCTGGTGTAACCCTTGGCTTTCCTCATCAGCAATGACTTGACCTGTGTCTCCCAGTAGCCTTGGATGCTCCCACTCCTGGGTGCGAGCAACTGCTGTACCTTTGCCCAACATGTCATCATCTTCAGCATCCTAACCCTGATCAGCTCTCTGAGCTACTCAGTCACCAATGCCACCAGCATCCCTGATCGTGCTGCATGCGCCGGTCACCAGCAGCAATGTCTTGGGCATGATGGTGGCTGTCGGGGGGAGGGAGTTCTTCATGTAGAACAAGACCATCCTAATGCAGATCGACAAGCCAGGAACGCCTTCTCTCTGTCATGACTGGGGACATGAGCAATAAGGAGCATCATAGAACAGAGAATACACTGGGGAAATTCCCAAACACTATCATTTTTCCCCAGCATGGTCACTATCAATATGGCGGAAACAGTGTCTTAAGCGAGCACTTTCAGTTGAGCTGGTAGAGTTACCCAAACTCGTACAGTTTGAAATGTTATGATGTGTAGATTGCAGAGGACAGGGACTCTTTAGTGATTCCTTCCCGTTCCCCCTAATGGTAGCAGAAACTTCTGACACATCAGTGAATATAAAATGCAGCCAAAGGGAAGGTGCATAACAATCAGAAGTCCTGGGGTTCCTGGCCTCACATGCTTCCTTGTGCAGGGAGCAGCAACTGACTGCCCAGGAGCATCACGATGTGCCAGTGTGGTGGGCTCTGGGTGGAGGAAATCTGAATGGAGATCTGTCTTCCGATGTTCCTTCTGTGTCACTAAGGATGTCATAGGCAAGGTTTATCTTTGTGTTCTGCTATCCAAATCACACCCATCAAGATCCTCCCTGGAGGGGGCCGGCCCAGTGGCACAGTGGTTAAGTTTGCGCACTCTGCTTTGATGGCCCGGGGTTCGCAGGTTCAGATCCCGGGCGTGGACCTACGCACTGCTTATCAAGCCATACTGTGGCGGTGTCCCATATAAGGTAGAGGAAGATGGGCACGGATGTTAGCCCAGGGCCAATCTTCCTCAGCAAAAAGAGGAGGATTAGCAACAGATGTTAGCTCAGAGCTAATCTTCCTCACACAAAAAAAAAAGATCCTCTCTGGAAAGGCAGCATTCCTGTGGATACAAAACTTTGAGCTGGCAAGAGTGGATGATCGCCAAGTGTCAAGGAAAAAGGACTGTAGCGTTACAAGCAGCTGCTTCACTTCCTCTCTTCAGATATGTGGTGCTGGTTTGGTCCTCTGGGAAGCGGGCCAAGATGGGGTCAGAGGCACAAGTGATTTATTGGGGGAAACACTTGGGAGGGAAAATCTGGAGGGAGCAGAGGAGGCTGGGAGAACCATCAGACTGCAATAGATCTAACGTTGGAAAGAGGAGAGAAGGAAGGAAGGCAGGACAGGAAGAATCTTAGGCTGCAGTGCAATGTCATGAAAGTTTCGACGAAGCCAATGGGGAGTCCTTGATCCCAAGTGCCCATCAGAGCAGCCGGGTATCTCCAAGGACCTGGGTGCTTTAGAGTCTCCGCTGTGCTCAGTCGTTGGCAGGATTGGTAGAAGGAAGCAAAGCGGAGCCTCCTCTGTGGACCCTAGAGAGCCTCTACAGCTGCAGCCCTCGGCAGTCACATCCCTGCAGTCAGAGATCTGGGTGGTGCATTTCCACGGCCGCCACATCCCACCCCTTGTGCCACATAGCTCTTCCGTGGATGCCGTGAGCCTCTTTCTAAGTAGAAACTTTGAAGAAGGAGGTTAGTGGAACGAACTCCAGCTCCCCTCCCCCTTGCTGCACCTTGATCTGGGGGCCGTAACTGGTACTCATCCTTTCCCCCTCCCCTATCCATTCTCAATTATCCACACTCTCAGCTGTCACCTGGCAGGTCTGGGTGGGTCACCTCAGTGGTGTGATCCAACCCTTCAGTCCTGAGGGGTCTAAACTCTTGGTTATCATAATCAATAGATCACTCCAGTGGATCACTGGGTTCCACATGTATTTCTCCCTGCTCCCACTTTGTAAAAGCAGCCCTGTCTTCTTCTAGTAATTGATCAGTGTACTTCTAGTAACTTCTAGTAACTGATCAGGGTCAGTTGCTGCTGCCAGAACAGTGACTCCTCTTTTTGCCTGCCGATCCCAGAACACGTGGAGTCCAAAGTGCCCTGGCAGCACCCATAGCTTAAATTTTAATGGGACCCTTGCTGTGTCCTCTGGTAAGAGTGTGCCCCCTTTGGGGACCAGGACTTCCCACCCTGCAGAGCTCAAGGTGGGGGATTTGATTACCCACACTGCATTTTGGCAAACCTCTACCAGTCACATTGTGGGTCATCAAATGCCAGTTGAGGAATCAGGGAAGGTTTCTGCAGAGCTCGCCTTGAACTGCGTTACCCCTGATAACACGGCTGGGAGCTTTTCAAGGCTTCATTCTACTCCTACCTCTCGCTGGGCCTCAGTTTCCTCATCTGTAAAAAGAGGAAAGTGCTCTCTAAATTCTAACATTCTGGGACTCAGTTGTTAGACACAGGAAGACATTCCCTTCCCTCTTCCTCCCTCTGTGATCTCCCTCTATTGCTGCCCAATAACTCAAACCCCCCATTACCTTGTTTGGGGCAATAAGGCGTTATTTGGAGAGGACTGGAACAAAGTTAGGGGAAATTTGGAACTGGGGAATATTGGCAGGACAGGGAGGGGAGAGAGAGGAAAGGCACACATAGAGCAGGTATCTTGGAGGATAACGTGTTTGGAGAAAAAGAAGAGGGGAAAGATGTTCTAGAGGAAACAGAGGCACAGAGGAATGAGAAAGCAGGTGTTCTAGGAACAGTGGCTGAGGTCAAGGCTGAATGGAGAGGGGCCTCAATAGGGGAAAGGTAGGAGGCTCCAAAGGCTAAGGGCTCTGAACGCCAGGATGAGGAGGTTAGATTTTTACTCTGGAGGTAACAGGGCATCATTGAATATTTTATGTAGGGGAGCAACCCAATCCACTTTGTATTTTACAGAGCTGAGGTCACACAGGACTTGGATTCTGGAAAAAAAAAGTCTACCTAGAGGCAGGAGAGAGACAAGTTAGGAACTAAGGCAATATTCTCACCAGCAGAGGTTGCAAACTGATGGCCCATGGGCCAGATTTGGCCCTAAAGAATGTTTCATTTGGCCCATTCAGTATTTCTGAATTTGAGGGAATTAGTTTCAAACATTTAAAAGTTGGAAGATTTGATGTAAGAATATGGATTTCCTGCTTCTCTTGAAAAATCATCTGTCCACACAGGGCCCACGATGCTCCAGGTTGCCTCATCTCCACCACTCTCTATCGCCTTACACCTGACCCCAGTCACTAATTTATGTGATCTATAGGTACTTAAGTTTGCAATCCCTGGTTCTAAAAGTTCTAGAAACAGTCAGGGTGGTTGGGAAGAGTCTGCCGGGTGGACAAAACAGCCTGAACAAAGAGAAAAAATAAGAAAGGTGCACGGTGCATTGGGGGCTTTCTCATCAGAAGAGTGTGGCTGGGGCTGCATGGATGAGGCTGAGAAAGAGACAGAACAGGGCCTGGGAGGATGAGCTTTCCCTATCTCATCTTCATCCTCATCTACCCACTTCCTTCCAGGGCACCAACGTCCAGTTATCAGACAATGCTCCTTCACACCCGAGCGGTGCCTTCGCACGCGCTGCTCCCTCTGCCTGGAATCCCTTTTCCCCTTTTCTTTGGTGAGCACTGTGTATCCCAGCGGCCTCCCAGCTTGTCACTGCCTGTTTACATCAGGGGCGGCAAACCCCACCTGGGCTGCAGATGGCCCCCAAGGCCCCAGTTTATAACCTCTTCCTTGAGTAGGCTGTTAGTTCCCTGAAGTCTTGCTTAAAATAGGATGGATGGATGGATGGATGGATGGGCGGACAGACGGGAGGGACAGATGGATGAATGAATGCATATCTGAATCCGGAGCTTGGATGTTTCCCTCCTTGCAAGAGACACAGGCTCCGCCCCACAAGAACAGACTGGGACAGTCTGGGGCAGTCTGGTCCCGCAGGGGCCAGGAGGCTGGACCAGGTGACCCTCGCAGACTCCCTCAAGTCCTCTCTAACCTCGTTCTCGCCCCCTCGTGGGCTCTGACCTAGAAAAGACGGGGGTGGAAGGACAGAGACGGAGCTTCTGGACGCTAGGACCCAGCGCGGCCGGAAGGCGGGGTGAGGGCGCCGCGCGCCCCTCCCTCGGCGCGGGGAGAAAGTGCGCCCCGCGGCGCGCGGCAGCGGGAGGGCGCG